AGGAGGAGGAGGGGGAGGGGGAGGAGGGGGAGCAGGGTCCCTTCGGTCACACGTCCCAGGCCTCTCAGAAGTCCCTGGGTGGAGCCCCTGTGGCTGAGTCTGTCCGGGAACTGGACCGCGAAGGGGAGACTTCATTAGGCAAAATTACGCCTCTGACCCCAAATGGATTCCACCAAAGTGCGTGAGAACAGGGCGAAGGCACCTGTCGTGGGGTGCCCGCACGCGTGCGCACGCGCGTCTCCCTTGTCTGTGTCTCTGTGTAGTTGCCGACCAGAGGAGGCCGCAGGAGGGAAGGTCGTTCAGAGACACCAGTCAGTCAGCCTCGTTTGCGTCTGGGTTGGTTTGGGAATGGCAGGTTCGTGCCTGGGCGGGGTGGGGGTGCGAGAGGGGGTGGCCGGCCGGATTCTTGCTTCTGTGGCTTCAGTCATTTCTGCAGTCTGTGCAGGGGGCAGAGGAATGCTTCCTGGTGCTCCCTCGTGTATTCTGGCATTCAATAAACACAGGCTCTGCGGGCTGTGACACCCTCACAAGTTGCTTTGCCAGGTTAATTTTCAGGTTCCTTACTGGAAAACTATGGATTCCCCTAAAAAGCGGCAAGGGTGGAGAGCGTGCATTTATTTGCTTTTACAGATAGGTTAGCCTGAAATGGGGGCCACAGACGCAGAGCTTCTGACATCTCTGATTGTGGATTGTGTATAGCATGAGACACATTCCTTGCACTACTAGTCAGAATAAACTTCTCAAGCTTGACACTTGGATACGTTTTCTTTGCTTCTCGATTGGAACCTTCCTTTTAAAAGGAAATCAGACACTTCCTGCGACTCCTGAGCAGAGATCAGCTCCTGACAAAGACCACATGCAAAAAACAGCTCACAGTGCTTTCTCACCTCAGCTCTGTTGTGTTGTGAAATGTCCTAGCTCTGTAAGCGTGCTTGTGAAGGGCTTGGAGATGTGTGATATCAAAGAAGTTCCCTTTTCAACATTTCAAAGCCACTTTGGCTTTGTAGACAATAACAAATTGGTGAATGCATTTCAGCTGAGATCTGGAAAGCCAGAGAGGGCATTTGAGTGAACTTGGAATTGGAAAATCTCTAGAGTGAGAAGCTCACCTGCCTCCCCATCCTTTTGTTTCTTTCTTTGCAGTGAGCAGGACAAGTTGCTTCATTCCAGCACCATCCCAACATGACCATTAGACCTCATGTAAAAACCCCAGCAGAGCAAATGGATGTGTCATTTCTGACAAGTCCTTGTGACCTTGCGTGATCAAGGACAGTGCCATCAATTTGGGTGACCTCAAGGATAATTTTATTGTCAGCCTTCCAACAGCCATGTCTTGTTCGCCGTAAAATGTGCAGTGCTGGCTCATAATGCTTAATAAATGCGTGCTGAATGAACAGTGGTTGGGAGTCGATGCTGATTGGATGAATAGGTTGAACGCAGGTTGTATTTGCTACATTAATTTTCATGTATGATTCCTCTGCTCTTTTTGGAATCAGGCATGTTCAGTTTTTTTTCCCCTGGTGGCTGGGGGTGGGGGGAGGGAATTATGTGTTGAGTTCGGGGGCCTTTCGCCTGCGAGGTAAGTGCTCTTCCACAGGAGCTCTACCCCTCCAGCCCTCCAGTCTTTCATTATTTTTCAGATAAGTCTCTGACTTCTTATGAGGGCTAGCCTTGGATCCCAACCTTCCTATCCATATCTCCCTCACAAGTAGAATTACAGACAGACAGTATGCAGTTTGTTCTTTGAGATAAGGTCTCGTTACAACTTGTTTTTCCCAGGCTAGGCTCAACCCTTGATCCTCCTCACTCCACCTCCCATGCAGCTGGGATTATAGGCGTGAGCTACCATACCCCACTTGTGTTCAGTTTTTGCCTTCTTAAAAACCGACAGCTCAGCAGACATCATTCATGCTCTATCAGTGTCAGTACAAATGCACTGCTGTGTGACCTTGATTGAGCCTAGGAACTTTTCTGGGCTTTTGACCTTTTGTCTGAATTTGGAGACTGAGGGACTTACGTCATGTTCTTTACAAAAATGGTGCATCATGATGTGTGTTAATGGACAGCATCTATGTTGGAATACAGTCAGCCACCTCAGTGCTCTCCCTGTTTTCTCTGCAGGACTTCTTAGAGCTTTCTCAAGCATTATGAAACCCCATGGGGAAAGAATTCATGTTGTGTCTCAGTGTCTCCGACCTTGTGAATCCTTGTTTGGTCCAGTTCCTATTCGTATCTCTCTGCAGTCCACTGCTACGGGTATAGTTATGGGAACAAAGTTTGAGAAATTTGAGTGTAACGTATCCAGAAGTTGTTAAAAAAAAACAACACACGGCCATTCTGTTCTGGAGAAGAGCTCAGTATAGGAGAATGCCTTCAGAGCAAATGCTATTCTCACCCAGTTTAAATAAGTTTTAGGTATGATAACCATTTTACCCTCCTCTGTCCTGTGTGTGTTCTGCCATCCAGCTGCTAGGAATGTCATCCCCTCCTCCCCGCCCCTCACCCCTGCAGCCCGGGGACTTCCATTTCCGTGGGGGAGAGATGAGCCCACAAACTCCCTGAGTGGATCTCTGCAGTGCCGCACTGGACTCAGCACCGCAGGCAGGCGGCTGGGGAAGGGGCTATCACCCAGACAGAGACATGATGGCGAGAGAAAAGGCCCGGATCAAAGATGGGCTGGGCTGAAGGAGCAAGAGTGGTCCAGGCTGAAGGCATGCAGCAGCAGAGAAAGATGGCCGGGATGGCGGGAAGATGATGGAGGAGGGGGAGCGTGCTGGGTCAGTGCCGATGGCAGCGGTGGCAGCCACAGGGGGGCTCCTCTTCCTGTCACTCCTCCTGTGTGGGTCTGACACACATGGCCACATAGCGGCCATCACCCCCTTAAGGCTCAGCTGCCCCCTAGGTAAGGAGAATCGGCTTCATAAGATGGAATAGGGCCATTATCTTGCAGGGTTGGTACAGTGTGGGCTCACGTGGGGGCGGAAGGGGCTCCTTATAGGCTGGGCAGTTCCCTGTTCCTGTTGACGTGTACTAAGCTGCCTAGACCTAGAGTTGGAGAGAAAGAACAGGAAATGGTTGTGGGGCTTGAACTCAGGGCCTGGGCGCTGTCCCTGAGCTCTTTTGTTCAAGGCGAGTGCTTTACCACTTGAGCCACAGCACCACTTCTGGTTTTCTGGTGGTTTATTGGAGATAAGAGTCTCAGAGACTTTCCTGCCTGGGCTTTGAACCGCGATCCTCAGATCTCAGCCTCCTTGAGTAGCTAGGATTACAGGCGTGAGCCACCAGTGCCTGGCAGATCTGTCCCACCGCCCCCCCCCCCATGCAGCTGGGGCACCCATGAATTCACCTTCAGCTCTCGCCATTAGTTTTACGGTGGCTTGGCAGCATGCAGGCTGGCTTGGGGCTCTGGATGAGGTGCCCGAAATGAGGAGGGAGGTGGTGTGAGCCTCCTGGAGCCTCCCTGACCCCCGGAGCCACAGCAGCTCATCAGAAGGGCGTCCACACAGCCAGTTACAAAGTCAAGGGAAGGAGGTTGGACATAACCCTCCAGGGCGATGCTGGGAAATTTTCAGAAATGCTTCCTCTGCCATAATTTCAGATTCACAGAAAGGCTGCAAAAGAGTATAAAGAATTCATAAATACTCTTTGCCCAGTTCACTCAACATTCATATTTTACTCTATTGTTAATTTGTTCTCCTCTCTCTTTTCTGAATCAGGGACGTGGCACCCAGTTACCCTTGAATTCTTTGGTGCCGTTTCATGAAAAACGAGGACTTTCTAAACTACGGCCTAGAGCTTATTCAGGTCTCCTAATGATGTCCTCCGTTTCAAAGCCATCCAAGGAAGCGAGCTGCATCCAAGCGGTCAAATCTCTTTCCTCTCCGTCAGTGGGCCACTTAGCTCCTCTATCAGCTCCCGCTTCTTTACCTCTCACAACACTGCCTCTGCCAGTGTTCTGGCCAGGCACTAGTGCAATGTCCTGGTGCTCCTGATTGGATCATGATCTGGTCATCGGGCAGAATATTTCAGAAGCCATCTGACCTTTTCTCCAGTGTCTAACGGGGACCTGTGTTGTCACTCAGTCCTGTACTAACAATGTTCTCATTGTTCTGGGCCTTCCCGTAGTATCCATGATAGAGTTTCCCTTGTACCCTTGTAATGAAGAAATGCCCTTTGGAGAGATGCTTTGAGATGGAAAATCTCCCCCCTCCCCTTCTCTCGGCTCTGGGGATTGAACCCAGGGCCTTGAATATGCTAGACAAGCACTCTACTACTGAGTGACATATCCAGGCCATGTTTTTGTTTTTTGATACTCCATATAGCCCAGAGTAGAATAGAATTTAAGACCCCTGCCCTGCTCTATCTCCACCCTGAGTGCTGGGGGTATAGACACCTGTCAATGTGCCCGGCAAAAATAATCAATTGATCCTTAAACTTTTGTCTGTCAGTGTTAGTACCCATTAACGAACCTTCTCTGTAAATATTGTATTTGCCAAGGGGTGTTTGTATTTTTTTAAAAAGATTTCTCTTGCCTTTCTAAATTTACTCGGCTTTCTACCATTTGGGAGAATATGCTTTTATTTACATCAACATAGATCCTTGGAATCCTAGTTTTCCCAATAACTTAAAACACATAATTCTCGCAGTTATTATGAGGTTTAAGAGAGGTTTGCAAGGTTTGAGAGCCTTGCAAATGAGCTGCTGTTTTTTGTTGACATGTGTCAATGCTCTTGGAATAGTTCTCTGCTTTTTGATGTGTAACATCACAGGCATGTTTTATACACTGTCGGCCCAAGTTCTGGAACCAGCTGCATCTCTACCATGCATGGTGCTTGTCAGCAGAGAGTGGCACTTAGCAATCAGTATCTGGGCACTGGGGGGTCTATTGCTACTGGGGTGTCATGGCTTCTATAACTAGCAAAAGACTGAGATAAGGAATGCATATTGTAATCTATTGCACATCATAAACTATTGAGTTAATTGTGTCTGCACACACCTATTTCTATGCCTAGCTTGTACATGTATAAAGTTCCATAGGTTCTCTGTGTGTGTATGTGTGTGTGTATGGGAGAGAGAGAGAGAAAGAGAGAGAGAGGGAGACTGAGGATTGAACTCAGGGGCTCACACTTACACACACTCTACCATGTCAGCCACACTCTTGGCCATTTTATTTTTTATTGCTTTG